AGTGAAGGTTGTGTTGATGATGTTTTTCAGAAAAAATACGAAATCTCTACAAACAAAACATCTGATTCGAAGAACGAAATCCTCCCATGATTACCCATCTGAGGTACAAGTTTTCTCCACAATCTCGATCGACATTCAATATCCGTTTGATAAGTTCCTAAAATATAATCTGTTTACGTGTGTGCCTCAGAGCAACCACTAACCCGTACTCTATTAGCACTAAACCCTTATTTTGAACCGACATTTTATATTTTTGAGTGCTTAAGTAAATACACTTTATCAAACGATATGTAATCATTAAAGCTCACCTACAACTGATATATATATATATATATATATATATATATATATATATATATATATTATGGGTTCCGACTGATTTGGATAACTGGTGTAGTATGCTAGACATTCAGTTGTTTTTGGATACCAAGACCATACACAATTAAATGAGAAATTTATTGTTTCATGAATATCAACTTGTAGCTATGTAAATGAAATCAAGAAAGTCATAAAATCGGACCAGTCAGTTAGCCTCTCATATATAACACAGAAACTAGAACCTGTGTGCATCAATTCACGGCACTAAACTAACTCAAAAACAGCAGATACAATCGTTTTGATTAACTCTGAAGTTTTACAAGCACGTAAGTGTAACTGATTGTGCTCATAGAAAAAAGACCCATCAACGAAATCTATGAAAATAAGCTATCGACACAAGAGCTGAGGGGTGGCGAAAATCGAATTCATCTGCCTCTCTATCACAGAGTCTAAGTCATCTAACACAACTTCTGAAACCATTAGTTACGACCATCATGAGAATTGCAACCACATAGCCTGCATCAACCAACACGGAAAAATCCAACAGTCAATATATTCATCGACTGATCTCATGCTTTAACTCAATCACCCCTAGATTTCTTCCAAAATACTTCCACACCAGGCAACATCCTTCGCTGAAGTTAATAGTGGTTGAGCATACGTAATACATGTCCCAACCACTTCAGTCAATCGATATTCTCAATGCTGATCGAAGAAATGTAACAGTCAATTATTCACCATTTCCATTTACTTGAATTACACTAAATTAGAATCTCTGGTTTTAACAATTAGTTAATCTGGATAGAATCATGAAGTGCATTGAAGATAATTATCATCAAACTGAGTGCTTGTTTATAAAATTCAATTTATAACAAGTACACACGCTGATTGGCTTAAATAATTCGATTCAACAAAACGAAATAATAATATTATTGTAAGCTGATTGGCAGATACACATTGATATATGTATATAAGATAAACCAATTTGTATGAATGCTCTCACAATTTTCAAATTACCTATAGAAATTTGTCATTAAGAAACATTTAAATGCTACCATCGATATGCCTAGCATACATGGTAATATTGTGAAAATTCACTATTCAATATTCGTTGTTCAATATGTATTTCTATGTGGCATCACTTTTACGAATGCTGTTCCGATGCTTACAAAGATTAACCAAAGTCATACTGGTATAAAATATCCTATAATTTTAATTCCTGGTATGGGTGGATGTCAAGCTTTTTGTGGGCCTAAAGTTATGAACAATTACTTTTCACCATTTAATATCTGGATTAACTTTCTACATGTATTACTGCCTGACAAAGCATTTGATTATTTCAGGTAAATGAAAATTTACTTAGTTATTAGTTTATTCCCAGGCTACAACATGATCCACGTACCTATGAATCATTTGATTCAAATGAATGTAATGTAACATTTCCCGGATGGGGTGATACATGGTCAGTGGAATATCTATCACAATATCTACCCTTTGATTACTTCGGTTCACTTGTGTCCGAAATGACTAAAGATAAATTTTATGTGAGAAATTACACAATACGTGCAGCTCCATATGACTTTAGAAAGTCACCAGGTAAATGAGTATATGTATTTACATACAGAAATGTGTTAATTTTAGCAAGTGATTATTAAATATATCGGTGAATGCTTCATGTGGAAGAAAAAATTAAGTCGATAATACCTTTAAATGAATTCTGCTAGCTGTAAAGATTGGAAGTAATGATCTTTCGAGAGTTTTAAATAACAAGTAAACACCTAAGAAACACTTTTAAACTTAATCAAACAACTGTAAATCTCGTGAAAATATTAGCATTCTCACGATCGCTACCGTCCCTTAATGAAAATTGTATTCAGATTAGCATTCTGATCAATAGAAAACTTTTTTAAAACCTGTAACATATCGAACTACAACTGAATTTCGATCATTTGTTTCAGAAAAAGTCTGAAATTCAACAGTAGCTTATCATATAAAGCAATATACTCTGGAGCGAAAGCATTTTATTGTTTGTTGTAGAAGAGTAGGAAAGAGTGAATAAACTTATAAGGTTATGAATTATCAAGGGTTAAAACACTTCATTATCTGGTGCCACACTGAGAAATGTACCCACAAAGAATCATTTACTGTTGCAATGGTGTTTGTTATTTTTTAATTTTCTGGCGATTGTAAGTATACTTTGAATTTATTCAAAATTCATGAGACCTGCTTTTAAAAAAATTTCATATAGCGTACTAAATCAGTGGTACTATATGTGAGCCGTTTCTCAATCTTCTATTTGCCTCATAAGTTTACATTTCCCTCATCATTAAATCATTCTCTACAGAATTATGTGTATACTCCTATGACATAACTAGAATGAACCCAGGAATTTCACATTACCCAATGAGTGGGTCAAAACCTTGGAGTTGATTCAATTTATTTCAAGACTAATCAATATAGAGCTCAAAATTGATTTGTGATTTTGTTCAAAGCTTTGTACAAATGGAAAGCTTTTCTTATCATGATCTCTTATCTACTTGTCCTTGATTCTAATTTGTTTTCTAAATCATCTCATAATTACAATCATTTAAAAAGGTTTAATTTTCGAGCATCAGTTGACGTGTATATTTCATCATTAATGTGTATTTGTGTTCTATTTCTCTCTTCTAGGTGATAACAAAGAATTTGTCAAGAAATTCAAGACATTAGTAGAAGAAACTTATACCAATGGATTGAATCGACCAGTTGTCCTATTAGGTCATAGTTTAGGTAGTCTTTACACATTATACTTTCTCAAACATCAAACTAAACACTGGAAACAAAAATATATTAAATCGTTTATGTCTGTATCAGCACCACTTGGTGGAACAGTTGAAACACTTGCAGCTTTAACTAGTGGTAAACTGAAATTTGTTTAAAACATTTTATTGATTAAAACTTCATATATATATATATATATATATATATATATATATATATATATATTTAAATGGCTGAATTTCATCTATTAAAAACATTCGACTTTCAAAGCATCTATGGGCAGACCTGAGTTTACACATCAATATTGTATTTGTATATTTGAAGAACGGTTATTATTTGTACTGACAGCAAAATTCTTATAAAAAATTCATTGTTATTTTTAGTAGTTTACAAAAGCAACATTCATCATTTTATTGAATCTAACATTAATGAATCATTGTTTAAATGCGAATATGTTGTTCTACCTGAAAATTGCAGGTGATAATTTTGGTGTGTTCATTCGTACTCCAACAATTTATCGAGATGTGTTACGTACAATGACATCATTGGTTTCTACCTTACCAAATCCTAAACTATGGTCTAAACATGAAGTTTTGATTATTACACCAACTAGAAATTACACAGTTCTCGATTATCCAGAATACTTCAGTGATTCCAATTATCTTACAGGTAGGTATGAATATTCATCTATAGGGGATTGTTATGTTGTGGTGTAATAAATTTTTCATTCGTCAAATAATTACATTGTTTACACTGTGTTTTTGACTTACCAATGGATTAGAACGACCTATATATATTCAAGAAAAATAATATTGAATAGCCACATTCCATTGTCTCCGGTAGGTTAACTAAATCAGGCCAAACTCAGATGACTACCACAATTTCTCATTAGAAATCTGGGAATTTTCGCTCTATGTTATTCACTAGATATCACATGGCATTTGCTTGTATAGAGCTTTTTGTAGATTATTTAATGTTTTAAAGGTTGAGCTACATCTGACGGACCCAAAGATCCTAGGTTTCACCTCAAGTGAAAGAGGGCTGTACTTACACAGCTCTGATGAGTCCTGTATTAGGACGAAAAAATTATCCTGTGCTATCTGGTTTTACATGCTTGTCTAATCAACGTTGATTTGTGACTTCACTAGCACTCAGAAACCTCCACAAACGCCTATACTGATAGTGATTACAGTAAAATCGTCATTAAGATTTAATTTATTGACAAATTCATGTTTAATTGCATGAATAGGAAATATTGAGCCAATCAAAACAATTTATGTTTAGATGATGACAATAAAAAATGATTGCGTAAATAATCTTAATAAGTAGAAGTAATAATTGGCAGTAAGATGATAGATATAATAATAGTGATCGGAATAAATCAATACTGAAATCAACGCTTCAGCATATGCAGTACGTCAAGACTTCAGAGAATAAACACTAAATTTACAACCACTAACACTTGATATTGTTAAAATTACGCTATGAAAAGTCTGTTCAAATGATCAATTAGAGAAGAGATGCGAAGAAGACTAAGAACAAAAAACAATCAACGTGATAAGTATGATAAAACCACTTGATATGCGCACAAATATGAATACAAATAAAGCCTGATGAAGGTCGAGTTAAAAAAATTGTTTACATATTGGAATTGTTTAAATCTTCACGGCGGAAATGTTTTGTTTTAACTATGAGCGTTTACAGAGAGATACATGTTATTTTTACAGACATGGAATAATAGAACAGACTGATAACTTGTATAAAACATGCTTGAACATAAATTTTCACGCTATGTCATCCAATATTTTAAGTTGTGCCAACAACTGATCAGGTTAACTAACAATCGAGAAACATAACTTATAAAAATCACTGACACTATTATATTTCAAATCATTGATTCAGTTTCATTACAGTAATACTGCACAAACAGTTGCATACATTTATTAGTGATCAGTGCTATGAGTCGATAAGTTAGCGGTTTATAAATCTGCGCGCTACTTATAAGTAGTATATGACGCGAGTGAAAACGTAATGTCTGGCAGCAGAAGATAGGGGAAGATCAAGAAAAGAAGAGTGGTAACACAATGGAATTTGTATGAAACGCATGAATAGTGAACTGTCAGACAATGGACTGATGATGGATTGAACATTTGCAAATTAACCGTTTACGATATGGTTTTCCTATTTTACTGAGTAACTCTTTAATTCTCGTTAAATACAATTCGGTTGCCCTTACCTGTGTTCTCCTTCACTACACTAACACACTCCAAGTTTGCATAACCTTGAACGTAGTAACCTGGCTACTTCGTTAACTTTCATTATTTCGACGGTGACAGCATATATATATATATATATATATATATATATATATATATATATATATATATATATTTCAATAAATATTATTATACCTACAAAATAGGAAAAGTAACTCAGGTTATTTTTCCACTCCAGGTTATCAACTATTCACACGTCACCTAGAAACATTCAATCCACTCGAAGCTCCTGAACACGTACCTGAAATCTATTGTATTTATGGTTCCGGACTATTATCAGTGGAACGACTGATTTTCAAATCATCCAGTTTCTTTGTTTCATCATTTCCAAATCAGACACCGCGAGTTATTTATGGCAACGGTGATGGCACGGTGAATCTGCGTAGTTTGAAAGTTTGTGCGAAATGGCCTACAGCTAAAGTCGTTGAATTCGTTGCATCTGAGCATCAACCAATTTTGAGTGAAAAGAGATTTATTCGTTTTGTGAAACGACATATGAATAGATAACCCTCAGTAATAGTAGTAGTACTCTTACTGTTATTTACCATTACTAGTGACTAAATGATTATTATTAGAAACAATACATTGCTTTACTAAAACAAACTAATTATTTTTTACAAATTGCATTTATCTTGAACAAACACAAATAACAATTTTTGGAGAACATTGTAAAGTGAAACATTGTCACAGAATTTTGCCTAGATTTTTTTTCCATGATTTCAATTATCAACATTAACAATATAATTAATTATTTTCGAAATAGGCGGACATTGATATTCAACAGTATAATTAATGTATACATGAGTAAATTGTATATATACATATGTATAAAATAATAAATTGAAATTATGAACAAGTTTTTTATAATTAGCTGGGATTTTTTTCAAGCAAGTGAAATTCACTGAACAATAATAATCATGTACTTACTCATGTCAATAAGGTACTTTCTATTAGTTAGTGAAAAAAGCCAATAGAAAAATACTGACAACGATTCAAGTTACACATTTTTGAAACCATGAATCGATCAATGTTAGACCACCATTAAAAACCTGGAAGCATTGGACGGCCGTTTCGTCCCGGTATGGGACTCCTCAGCAGTGCACATCCACGACTCCTGCACCCCACAGGATTCGAACCCAGGACCTTTACTATTGTAGGCGAACGCCTAACCATCGGACGACTGAGCCGATATCCAGCGGTGTTAATGTCTAACTTGATCAATTCACGGAGTTGCGCAACCTCATACACAGTCTTCGGTAGACACTGTCTACACCCGAACAGGTTGAACTTCACTGGTCATGACTTTCCACGAGAACTCGAAGAAGATTCCTCACTAAGCTAGTCACTAGTGAGCACAGGTAATTCGCATTATGGGGTTGTGAAACTATACCAGGACGAAACGGCCGTCCAGTGCTTCCAGGTTTCTAATGGTGGTCTAACATACATCGATTCATGGTTTCAAAAATGTGTAACTTAACAATCTTCACAACCCCGTAATGCAACTATTCAAATATCAATAGATTAGTTATTAATTATAATTTAATATAAAACTAAAACAACTAGTTAAATTATTGAACTACAATATGTATTAGAGTGAACAAGTTTAAAGTTATCAACAATCACTAAATGAATTCATCTAGTTCTTAATGAACAATATTCAGATTGATAATGCTTTCAGCAGCTTAGAATTTTAGTCACAATACCATAATTACTTGCTCTATTTTAATCTTTGCCTTGACTTGAAATTTTGGAACTTATCTGATATTTTATTGGGTGAAATAAAACAATGTTGACCAACAATGAAAATCAGTTTAGAGAATATTGTTTCATTGAATTCAAAGTCTGTAAAATACTAAATTATGAGCGTTCTTTTAATGCATAATTCAGGATCTTCAGCTAGATCGAGACAAATTCTTTCAGTGGGCAAACGGATTGTAAATGCCGGATAAAGTGACGACAGGTATTATCTGCTTATATTTGATCGCTAGAAAAGAGAATACCTTTCTCTCTGAACGACTTCAAATGAATATTTTGGATGTATGGATGCAGTAGCTCTCGGTTCATTTCACTTCAGCCGCACATCAAGAAAAATACGACAACATCGCAAATTCCAAATGTAGATTTAATGATAACCCTGAATCCGGTATTGTATTCAACTCCTGATTTCATCGTTTCGAAGACATATTCAGTGTTGAATGTTCTAACTTCCTTGTGAGAAGAATTTTGGACAAGGAAATATGAAAAAAAAACATCTGAATTTCATTCTGCTGAAAAATTCTCAAGATTTATCTATTAATGATACAGTTGAAATATTATCTAAACTTTTTGCAAAATAATCCTCTTTGTTTAATATTGTCTATCAATTTTTTAAATATCTAAATCCCTACGCAATGTTTATTTCATAGATGCTGGTAAAGTAACTTGAAATATGTGCCTAATTGAACAAGAAACTATACCAGGTTAATTTGAACATTTAATCCTTATCGATGGATTAAAGAATACTTTTATTTAAAATAATATTAACATTAATTAATTAACTAATAACAAAATGCAATGACGGATTTAGGAGATTACAAACTCGACGTGTAAGGATTCGGTTTCAAATCTTCCATGAACTACAACTTTTTAAAAATGCAATTAATATTTTTTTAATTTCTCACTGAATAATTACTTCTGATAAGTTTATATAATAAACCAATGAATAATTGTGTTGATGAAGATTTCGTGCTTATCAGCATCACTGTCAAGGATTGATATGACTATATCAGATGAACTGATAGTTGTTTGGAATTTCGACCATAAACCAACGATGTATTTTCATTATCCTGAGGATTAGATATTGAATTAAATCGTAAATAAGCAAAAAATGTTATGTCTATTCGTTAGCATATCACAATGATATCACATTAGTTTGTTGGTTTCGCATCGATTTGCTTTGATATTATGCTTATTTATGTATAGCTCATATGTATGCATATAAATATAGCTAACAAAAGATCGAAAACACTTGTAATTATCATTCAGATATACATGTAGTTATTTTTATTTTAACAAAAAACCGACATTCATAAAGGATCAATCCTTTTAAATTATCATATCATCATGACATCGTGTCATTAAATGTTCAAAATAAAAGTTGAACATAGATTACTATACTTTGACAAAATATACTATAAAAAAAAAGTTTTTTTTGAAGAGATAAGAATTAGGAAAAAAGATTTGAATATTTTCGTATAATTTATGTCATCATATCACATTTCTTAATAGTTCATTATTATACAGTTGTAACGAACTAGATATATCACTAGTTAGTACACATATTACAATGGTCAATCAGGAATCGAAATGAAATATCCGCTACTTCTCTTGTAAACCACAAAAAGTCAATATCACTTCAACAATGATCTACGCACACAGGCTGGTATATTAAAGTGCACATGAAAACAATCAGATGACATTCTAATATTAACGTAGTATCATTCTACTTGTGTCTTTTCAACGTTGATACATTGTGATTTGTAAAACAATTTACATAAATCAGCGGACTAGCTGAATGTTACGATCAGTGATCAGTAAATCAATCAAATTCTGGATATAATATGAAGAAAGTTCAGTTTCCGCCTAAAATTCATTAAAAAAAGTTAAGTCGTAGGACAAATATGACTGGTGATGTAAAGTTTTCAAACAGAATATTTGTTACGTGAACAGTAACGGTGTACTATTGAATGCCTACTGAAGTTCATAGAAAAGTGAAGAATACCTAGAGATATTGAAATATACAACTTGGAATAAAACAGAACAATATCATGTGAATAATGGAATCTAAATCTGTCATGATTAAGTTACGAAGTAACAACTTCCTCAAGATTAAAACTACATCTTGCTGAAAAGTGCCAAGTAGAACGAAACCTAAGTCCAGGATATCTTGTCGATGACTTCCAAGCATCGTTTCGATCTGAGGTATAATTTATTGAGTCTGAAAATAAAATTTAGCGTCTATTCTTTAGCTGATTCTTCAACATAAATTACAATCTGATCATACTGAACCTCAAGATAATACATGAATCTGGGCTTTCTGTCGTCACATCAGTCAGTAGCAAGGCCAGTATAAGTAGAACAAACGATTCAATAATGTAACCCCATCTATGGAAATGAATTATAGGTGGAAGGTATAAGAACAAGATAAAAATAAACCCTAACCGTAAGTGAAATTACAGGACTGCTTTTGTAACAGAATCAGCGTATGGAAGATGAAACGTAAAATTAATTGATTGTATAACTAACTTATCAATCCACCTAAGTCTTGAACAAGTAGTTCTATTTGCAGATTGAAAAAACAACAAATTATAACTTAGTCCTTTGAAGTATAGAATATCTTCTCAGCGCTTTAGAAGGAGGTTAACGGAATTTCAGGATTGTACATAGTGTTCCTGGATAAATATCTAAGATTAAGCATTCAGAATACTTAAAGTTGTGAATTTAGTACATATTCTTATAGAAGCGACTAACGTGTTTTATATTATATATATATATATATATATATATATATATATATATATATATATATATATATATATATATATATATGAAACTATCTGATAAGTGTAATATTCTTGCATTTTATGATAAGTTGCCATAAATTTCTTTGGATTTCATAGATCATACAACAGACTGATCATAAGTATACAACCATTGAAATCAAGAGGTAATGAACATATGTTTCAACCTCGTTTAAGACTCCCTAGAATTGAAAATCCAAGATCTTACCGCATACTAAACCCGAAATCTTTAATTTTGATTACCACCGCTCAACCCTTAGATCAGTGAGTCGATATCTATTGATTTATATATCAAAATTTAATTGATGAAAGCTATTTTTTAACTGTTGTTTTCAACTAAAAATAAATCTCACATTATCATTGTCAGTATTCTGCGCACTGTACAAAAGTGTTATGTAACATAAGTCAAAAGTTATTCTTTTTTTACAGTTTTACACAAAATGTTGAAAGTCGTGTCCTAGATGTTCACTGCCTCAGTTTTATTAAAATAGTTCTAATGAAAATATTTCGTGTCTTAATACATTTGCAAACTCAAAAATTATGTTTATTGTTACATAGAATAGACCAAAATTATTAATTATTTACATAGATATAACCTCTTGTTGAGTGAGCTGTGAATGAATTCATATTTGTTAGTGATCTGACTACTCAACAATATCAGTGACAAGATCTTTCATACTGTTTTAGCAAATACATAGTGAACTACCGTCTTGTCATTTTTAAATATCTGAAATATATATCAGTACCTCTAATGGTTGATAAATATTGATGAAACTAATTAAAGAATAAGATGCTCTAAACGACATTTAATCAGATAGATATAAAAGAATGAAAAATATTATTGCCTAAATCTCTTTTGAAGAAATGAGCTCAAAACCGGAAATTTCGAATAATAAGATAAGAGAATATATTCAATAACAGATCGAGCTAGATTAGAAAATGAGATTCACACCCTGAATCCCACCGCTAGCCAACATTCATCTCTACTTATACTACTCATCATTTCATCGCAATATCGAATCGATTTGCACAGCATAAACACATGCCGATAAGGATTGATCAGTTGCAGTCATCAACAGAAATCGCAAGATTCAAACAATTCATAAAAGTGAACTGGTTGAGAGTTCTTCATAGGATTATTATTGTTTCGCATTTTCACTAAACACATCACCATTCATTCATTCCATTAATGCAGAAGCCTCACGGGTAACTCACACATATTCATAGTGTTCTACAAATATATTCGTGATCAATATACAACTTGTATATAATTACATACAATCTTCAACTTTAACAGTACACAGCTAACACATTTCGGTTCTTCCGTGTAGTCATTCTCCTAACTAACATGTAGTATTTCGATTAATCCCTAAATAAATCGGAGTTAGACATTAACACCCTTGGATATCGGCCCAGTGGGCCACAGGTTAGGCGTTCGCACGCAATACCGAAGGTCCCGGAATCGAATACTGAGAGGTGAACGAGTCATGGATGCGCACAGCCAATGAGTCCCATATCAGGACGAAACGACCGTCCAGTGCCTTCAAGTTTCTAATCTTGGTCTAACAATCATTCATTGATGATTTCAAATGAATTCACTTCAACAGCTTTCTATCTCTTCCTAATTCATTCTACGCACTTCTATTACTATCACATGTTGTAATAGATTATGCTAACTCACACCCACAAATCTCACATCACAAATATAGAAAGATAAATATGAGACAAATAAATACATCCTCTCCAACTAGCATAAACCACTTTTCACTTCTATTCACGTCAACACAACAATAACTCCTACCATTTATTCTTCTCTCAAGTCATCAACTAAATACTGGCAGTCATTCACAGTTGCGTCATGTTCATAATTGGTTAAATCTGAGTATACAAGCATATAAATAAACCAATGACACCATGTTCACCAGAAAACAGTAACGCTTTGCATGGATTCCATTGTGTAATTGCATATTCACATAAACCATTGGTCTCGCAAAAACATAAAAATTTAGTCTAATTTCTTTGAACAATCTCTCAAATGAACATGTAAGGCAATTCACTTTGCATTAATCTACTTCAATTTTCACTCTTCAAAACCAGACGTGTGAAATGTATGTTTATATTGAGTTTCACATTCAGAATAATTGACTTATTTGGTACTTAAGTCATTTTATCAAAAAATAAATGAGCACATAAACAACTGATACACTAACCATCATAGTCTATCCAGTTGTTGGAGTTTGATAGCGGGCTACTAAAACCTATGCATATGCTGTGTATTAAGGTATGCTATTTTCTTAAGTGTCCCAAGGCCGTTTCTATGATGTATAAATAAACGGGAGTGGTATGCTTGATTGTACTGTGATTGCTGGATGATTGTAGAATATACTTTCTACGCTTACAAAGCCTTTTTACTTCAGCTTGGGATTCAAGGTAGCCTACCTGGACGCTGGTAAAAGTCTCGTTCGCGTTTATCGACGAAGGTAAACTCGTAATAGTTTCAAGCGTACTTAGCGACGAACATAACAATCTTGTCTGGACTTCTTCTACATACTTTGTACCCTATTTCCGTTAAACTATTCGTTCAAATAAAGTAATACATATTTGAAGCTTATATTTGAATTGGATTTACAATAAAAATGTAGAATTCTTATCATGCAATCATAACTAATTCCAACTATTTTTCATAATACAACTATGTTGAATCACTACAAAATAAATAATCCTGAACTTAGTTCCAAGCTGGTCAATGCCGTATTAACAAGCAGTTAATTCACACATCAGTCAAGATGATATTCTATCCCGATAGAAATGTGTTTGTGGATGCCACTAACCGGTCACCCACAACGTGGGAGATTAGTTGGAAACTTGAAAGAGGATTAGTACTCGTCTTGGCTATCTGGTAGTGTTTCGTAGTGCTCCAAGGTACAATCAACTTAATCCGGTAATACACCGCCTTTCAGGTAGTAGCTATTTAAATAATTACTATGTACATTCAAGACCTTACAATCAGCGACGATAATCTGTGATTCGAGAAGAGGTACATTACTTTCAAGGCCGACTGTTTATAACTTCTGCTTTTCCGTTAGGGGATGCTGGTTACTTATGGAAAACACACCACTGTTGTCACAACGCCAGTACAATCGACAAAACAACCTACGCTACTGACTTGTTCAACATGAAATCAACTGAAAAGAAATAGTATAATTTTAGGTTGGAAAAAAAATAAATGGACAGTAAAAAAAATGAATATAACAATCTCGATGATCGTTTAATTCGGATTATAAGATTATTTAATTTGACTGAAAGGAAAATCACAATATACACTAATAAAGAGATCCCAACTATAATAATAATAATAATAATAATAATAATAATAACAGTAATAATGATAATTACAACTCTGATGAGTGAAAACTAAATAATATGCATTATGATACTATACACCATTCAATCACGGCTCGATTAGATAGAAACGCAAGGAAAGAGTAAGCGTTTTGTAAGAAATTTTATCAATAAACCAACTGTACAATGTTATATTTATATATATTTATATATATATGAAGAAAATAGCGGAACAATTAGTTGAAAAATTAAAATTTTGTTATAAGTATAAATATACAACCACCGGATGATACATAAACCATGATACCAATACTAAAGAATAGTCATTAATGGGAATCCATTATGTGTTGCATAACATCACTTCGTAGTTTACTATGAAATTCACACATTGGACAAATAACATCCTCATCATCTACATCATTATCGACATTGTCATGTTCAGCAGTAGTATTGTCTCCTTTGTTAAACTCATCTTGTTTATCATCAATGCAGTTGTCGTCATCATCATCAACGTCGATGGCGATTTGATCGATTATCTGATGGCGATTTAAGTTATTACTTTCTATAATAGCAGATGATGTCTCAATATTATTATTATTATTATTATTATTATTATTATTATTATTATTATTATTATTGTCTACAATGGCAGTATTGAGTAACTTTTCACATACAACTTGCTGATTGGTAACAGATCTAGTTAAATTTAATGCGGACTCATTGTGATGTTTTGACACTGACACTTTGGATGAATCGACAACATCACAAACACTGTCCACATCGACGTTACCATCACAAGTATTTGAAGATGAAGAAGATAAACTTTTGGTACGGGTTAATCGATTAGATTGACTGGATAATGCAGAAGAAACAGTTGTGATTGATGTTGATGTAGAAGTGGTTGTGGTAGAGCCAGAAGTATTAGATGGGCAAGCTTGTTTTGTACTATTATTATTATTATTATTATTATTATTATTATTATTATTATTAGAATTATCTGCAGGAATTTCATTAGCATGAGCTGTTTTCTTGTGTGTATTTAAATCGTCCATAGTTAAACAAAATACTGGACATAAATCGCAACCAAGAAACTATAATAAAATAAAAATAAAAACAGAATAAATAAATAAACATTTTTGTAAATTTTGAACCATTTTCTAGTTACTTTTTGAATTCGTAAAATCCACCAATGTTAGCCCGCCATTAGGAACCTGGAGACACTGGACGGATGTTTTGTCCTAGTATGGGACTCAATAGCGCACCTACGATTCCCGCTACTCGTGGGATTCGAAACCAAGTCCTTTGGTCTTGCACCGAACGCCTAGCCGCCGTCTAATTTCGATCAACCTACGTTCTTGAGCAACCTCATAAACTATCTAAGGGTGAGCACTGCTTCACACCCGAACAGAGCTGAACTCCACTGGTCACAACTTCTTACTAAAACTCAGGGAAACGTCCTCACGGGGCAGGTCATTAGTGAGCACATGATAATTTGCATGATGAGATTGTAGAGATCGTTGAGTTACCTTTTGAAATCATGAATCAATCAAAGTAACTCAACAATGTTCACAGTCCTGTCTCTTTTAGATGTGAACAACAACAACAACAAACTCTTTAAAATTTAACAGAAATTTAAATAATTGTTTAGTTATGCTACACTGTGTACAATTCAACGAAATATAACACATCCAATAACAGTGACTAGTAAATTACTTTTGACAAATGAACAAATCACCATTAGAAAAAATAAGTCAACCGATGCAATTACGCAAAATACAATTGAACAGACTATGGAGATATTAAACAGTGTAAAATATAAAACAAAATGCTCTATCTATTTCCATATGTAAAGATGAAATACCGTACTCAAATAAATTTATCTATTCAAAGATCAAGAAGAATTTCAAATGATAATGATTAACTATTTTACAGTTAAAACTGTAGTATTATAGACATACCGTAAAACAAATAGCAGAAGTATTCTTTGTGTAGTAGTGCATTGAACTTTAAAGCTATAACAAAATCATATTTAGTGAAAATGACGATGTTAAACGTATCAAATGTTTAAGTCGTTCAATGTAGACGGTGTTTCACACGTAAATTCACTCTCATCTTAACTCTAAACTTATAATGCCAGTACTAATCCTAAAACTAGGGAAAATGTAGAAACTGTGTAACGAACTCCTTTTAGAAGGGTTTAGAAATGTTTAATATTATTGTTTTGTTTTTTTTTTATTTCGACTAATCTTCAACGGATTCGACTTTGATGTAGTTATTTTGATTATCGCTGAAACTCCTCCTAAAATTATAAATCATACTATTTTAGACAGAAATTCAACTGTTTGATAATAACAACAAAGTAATTGATTGTTTAGAAATTGGATCAGATTTTGTGAACTATCGTGGTGAAAGGGCAACGAAATAAGGTCAAATTTCTGTAGTTGAAACAAAATATATCACCTTTCAATATAGAAATTTCAAAACAGAATCAATTATTTGAACCCAAAATGTAACCAGTTCGAATTATCAATGACTGAATTGTTTATCGTATGATGTTACTGCCTGATTTTCAACTGATTACAGGTCTAGTGATGATGAAAAAACAGACATTATGTAACATCACACTGAAGTGTTCAATTGTACAGGATGCATCTATTCCAAATAGATGACTTAAACATAGTAGAAACTGTTCAGAATAATAAGTTTTATAAATAGTAAAAAATAGCAATTAAAATACACTTTAAAAAGCTAACCTGAGATAAGTGACCAATAGCACAACGTCGGCCACCCTGTTTCAGCGGACTGGTAATAATTTTTGCTGTAGTCACTGTACTTAGGGAGGAAGATAATGTCGTTGATGTGGTTGTTACTGAAGCAGAAGAGATAGCTGCACCAGTCGATTTCGGTCCAACAATTCGATAAAACGTATTTCCTGCAGATGGTCGGTTTAGTTCGGGCTCTTTTTCATGAGTACCAGAGAAATGTTTCCAAAGAGCAATTGCTCGTTCACATGCATATGTACATAAAGGACACCAGTACTGATGACCGGCCTACAATAGAAGTTTATAAAATATATCACTATAGTAGAATATTTATCATGTAATCATAATAAAATTTCATTTTTTTTGAAAGTCGGATCGTGAATATTGCGAGAGATACAATTTCCTATTCGGGACACGACAGTTACAACTAATGACATTCAAAAAGACTGACCATTTCAAACTGCAGGTTGAATTTTAATTTTCTCGGTGCCAACTTTATCCAAGTACTGCTAACACCACTAAACACATACTTTAATAATGAATGTAAAAAATGTGAGAAAAATTACAGATTGACATGGTACAATATTGTTTTGAAAGATTTCTACTAACCGAGTGGGCCACTAAGGTTGTGGATTTTCGTCAGCTGATTATAAATTTTACAGCCTTGATAAAGATATTTAGTAAACACAAACATGTATACGAAATATATAAAACAGATAGGAAATATTTCTAGCCTATTCATGTTTCTATGTAGTTATTTATTCAAACATGTACAACTTATCACTAGATGAATTTAAGTGGGATTAAACCCAGTATCACATTCTCATTATCACTTCTATGTGTAAACGCATATTAAAACTTAAATTTGGTTATTCACCAGGTACTTAAGTATGAGTCACACTCTGAATGTGCGGACTAATCATATTACACAGTTGACCAAACTAAATCAGGCGAAGGGGTTTGAATTCGGGACTTGGTGGCCCAAAATCAAACACCTCAACCACCGAGCGACCACTCTATTAGAAAGATTAAAAGGTTAGCTTATTTTAGCGTTTGATTTTATGAATACATTACAACGACCTGACAATTCAGTAGAATGATCGGTTTCCGCCGACAATACAATCAAAGCAAATGTAACCAACAACATAACCATGGCCAATAACAAATCAGATTCCAGGTTAACAGAACAAACTGTTAACCAGCTATGAAAAGATTCTAATACCCTAATACTTTCTAAGTATGTACTGCTAGTGGTGTTGTCTAGATGACAATAAAGGTTTCACAACTGAATCATCTAACTCGATAGGTGAGTACTCTCAAACAGTCATCAGAAGCGTATGCTTCATAAAGCTTAGTCTATACTCCTCACCACCTTCTAGTAATCGAACTTTTTCACTGATTGAAAATTAACTCTATTGCTTTTTTTCCTATTCATCGTACATTTTCAACTTATAATTTTTAAAATTTTCATTTCTGAAACTACATCTAAATTAATGTTTCCTATTCAGAGTTCCATAATATTTTGCAGTAGTCCCTAATACATTTGTTGAGGGATCGATTATTGAGTAGAAGCAATAGCAATAACAGCATTAAACCGATCGATATATTTTAATATCAATACAACCGCCCGTAATCCAAACATATTGTTGCTGTCCAATTTATTAAACTGCCCAGTTTTTAAATGTGGAGATAGGTAGATTCGTGTGAGGGTTAAAAAAATGATCTGCAATGATAACGAGCTACTGGAGAAAATAGAAAGTCCTCACCTCACCAAATGTCTTACGTTTCATTGAGTTCCTGGAAATGTAAGAGTAAACGCCAGATTTCTGACTATGAATAAACCCTATTTAGCAGAAATTTAGTTATTTGTATACATTTTTAATCTACTTAATATCAATAAGATTTAATCAACAAGTCAGTATATCATAGTTCATATGATCTATCTGAATAAATGAAATGGTCCATTCATTCAATTTCCAACTGACCGAATGGAAACCTCTTAACACATAAATAAGTAACAATATTATAGAAATGAACTAACTTATGATTACTGCACAGTTAAATATGTCAATCAGTCAGTCATAAACACTATAGAATCTATTACATATATGTGCATCGGTTATAACTGTTACACTATATGATGAAATTATTAAAACTAAATTGTAAGGCAGAGGAATTAGCAACAATATCACTGGTAGTAAAAAATATCATTAAATATAGACAATCTGATTATAGAAGGAAAAAAGACGAATTCGCGAAATAAAATAAGCATCAGTTTTTGGAACTAAGAGTAAACTAAGAAATGAATACATTTGTGGTATTGTGGTCAATCTTAATCAGATAGTTTACATCTACTAACATAGCTCAGACTAACAGTCAATGACTTCATGGATTGATAACATGTCTTTGATTTGGCATATCTTAGATTTCTTTCAACTTACTCTCGTCTACAACATTAGACACTATACAATAAGCTGCCATAAAAAAAAACAGACACTTCAATCGCATCAGTTGATATAATTAACAATCTCTACAATATAAAAATTTATAAACCTAACAATTAAAACAACTTTTAAAAACATTTATCATACAGTTCAAATAAAAAGTCTGCTTGCACAGTAGATAGACTTCTCTAAAAAATAAACTAACTAACTTGAGCCATATGTAAGTCTAAATGACCAGTAGTAATGAAATGTGTACTGCAAACTGAACATTTCCAACATGGTGTATTGGTAGGCTTTGCATACACAACAATGTTGTTCGGTAATGAATACGACACAGATACTGGTGACATGGATAATGATGAATATAATGTGGAGAGATTCATTAATTTCGAACTCTTTGTTAAATTATTACAATTTGGTAGACTGTTCTTTGTTAAAAATTTACATGCATTATTATTTATATCATCTGGTACAGTGAAAAAGTGCACATTTAGTAAATGAACTAAAAATGAAATCATATCCGAGAATGCACGACAACATTGCGGACAGTTATATATTTTTTGATTTAATCGATAGGTGAAGTGTTCCTAAAATTTCAAAAGAATATAATAATAATAATATTTTAATTAATTAATAATAAAATACCATATTAATGTGAAAATTTATAAGGATTTTATGTGGAAACAACCAAAATACGGGGCAATCAGTAACTCCAAGCAAAAAGTAGACACAGACACCTAACAGAGCGAAATAATTCAAATATAAATCAAGTAAATAATCGAATCTATAAATCAACTTTAAAAACTACATCCTATTAAATCCAACTGTAAAAAAGGTTTTAGGCAAGAAACAGTGAAGATATGACGTCAGTATGACATTACATCTTGAACAGAAGTTAAAATTGAGAAGGATCACCATTGGATATAGTAACAATACATGACCAGGGGACAAGAAAAATACCGAATTACAGATGTCAACAGTCGGTTAGACAGTAACAGACTTTGTGCAGAATTATGAATTCAAACATGTTTTTGTAGTTGTCACAACAGAAAAATTTACATTTATTAACAAAAACAATACAACTTGAGGTCTTCTTGGACTGTTCATGCCCAGACAGCGGTAGTCCATGAAACTCTTCTATGTTGGCTATTAAGAAAAAGCTTATAAAACAGCCAGACCAATACGCGAAAGAAGTTTGTTAGAATTCAATAAAGCTATAGACTTCTTATTAAAGTTCAAAACAAGATAATCATTATTCATGGCTATTACACTTGTTACATACACTACTGATATCGAGAAATGTCCACAGAAAATACGGTCGAAGTAGTTGTATACCGAAAAAAGGCGAGTAAATATAAAATGGGAAACAATTGATTAAAAAAACTCTGACTTACAGGATGCTGAGTAATTTCATGTATATAATAAGTTGAATTGCACAATGTTTTATCTCCGCAAAATGCACAACTAACACGTTGATGTCGGCTTACACCAGCCTTTGTCCAGAATAACTGACCACATAAATCACAAGGAATCGTTGGAACATGTCGTAAACCTTTAATCTGAGTTTGTATTAATAGAATATGCATAAAAATGAATTAATTAAAGTAGTAATTAAACAATGTGATTAAGTATTGATCATTTTTAGTGATGATAAGAAATAACACACATGAACTTGGTTTCACAATTATTGTTTAGAGAAAAACAAAAACCTAGTAAAGCAGATATATTTCTTTAATGTAGAAGATAACGTATAGTAGCATTATTTCATTTTTAAAAAAATGAATAATTAGTAACAATAAAGATCGGCTAAACACTAACGACATGAAATATATCTAATAATCATTTTCAAATCAATTAACTACACGTATCGATCCACGATGTATACACATGTACCACATAGTAAGAGTGATTATTCAACTATACACCGACCAGGTCTTATAGTGGTGTTATACATCTTAAAGGCATTACACAACGAGTGTGTTTAAATAATCATGCAATTGATAAGTAAGGATAGCATAGAAAACTCATCAGCAATATATGTTTTATATTAAATCAGTCAGTCAGTTACAACGCAGAACTTCGTACGAGCATTCATCAGCCCAGGTTGCAATACCGCATTAACACACAGACGCAACTGTCAGTTCAAATCCCATAGTAGTAGAGATAGTAGATGTATTAGCAGTAATGGAGGGATCAGGATTCGAAGATATTATTCAAGAGAGAAAGAGATAGAGATGATGAGGAATTCTGAAGATTAGAATTTGAGAAAAGCCAAATAATGGATGCAGCTACGCCATTCCAAACGATTTTGAGTCATGTCACTCAAGGTCTCTAACGACCGGTAACTATCGTCTCGCGGACCCCAAACACGTAGCCTAGATTTACCAGTATGACCCAGTCCCCTTGTCAGTGATTTCATGGATTTGCACCATGTTTTGGTTTGGCCAACCCTAGATTTCTTCCAACCCACTCCTACACCACTAAACATAGCTCGTCGAAGCAGTCGGTGGTTCCGCCTCCGTAACACATGTCCCAACCACCTCAACTGACGAAGATTCGGTACTTTATCAATCGATCTGCCATCCCTACCTAGTACTCATTTCCTAACTATAGCATCGCTTACTCGATTGTCACAGGATATACGAGCTATGCTTCGGAGACACCTATAATCAAATACTAATAACGTACGAATATTCTCAACTCTTACCGGCCATGTGTTCGCATCCATATGGGAGAACAGAGCGAACTGCTCAACAGTACATTCATCTTTTGGTTAGCAAACAGATATCTCGCCTACGCCACAAGCGACGCAAGTTGGTAAAAGCCAATCGAGTCTTCCGTAACCGCGATGATATTTCGTCAGTCACCAGGCCATCAGCACTGATGAGACTCCTGAGATGAGTGAGGCAGTCAACACACTCAACTGTTTCACTCCCTATCACTAGTTCAGGTGCCGATGAAACCCAATCTTGAAGCAACATTTTGCATTTCGAGGGGGAGAATTGCACTACGAACATGCTGGCACTGTTGCTTGTGGTAGTCAGAAGACTCTGCATTTTGTCAGTCTTCACCGAATAGAACTGTGTCATCAGAATATTCTAAGTCAGCAAGCCAAGTCTTGTAGAAGGTCTGCTCCTGAAAGGTCAGGTCAGATAGTGTTATCTCTAAAAGCATGTCTACGACAAAGTTAAACAAGAATGGAGAGAGTGGACAGCTCTAACGGATAACACTTGAAGTAATCAATTCCGATGACAGTTCGCCATAAGCTCTCACTCGACCTAGTGTTCGAGGTTAATGTTATCCTTTGATACACATTTTAATGACAGACACTGACACAGAACTTCACGATCCACAGAGTTAAATGCCACCTAAAGGTACAGGAAGACAACTATTGTCAGACGCCTAAATGTGTGTCTGTGTTCTAGGAACTATCTTAGTTTGCATTTGTCGTCTATACATCCACCTTCAGGCCGAAAACCAGCCTGATTTTCTCTAGTCTGCTCTTCACGAACGTTTGTTAAGCGTCGAAGCATTATTGAGGTCAATATTTTCGACACTATATTAGTAAGGCTGATTTCTCTGTGATTGTCACAAGAGGACTTTTGTCCTTTCTTATAAATTGGGACAATCAGTGATTGAGATCAGTCACATGATATTACGCCAAGTTCCTATATTCTACCTAAGGCGTGAGTCAATCTAACTGTTAAGAATGAACCACCATCCTTAAAAATTTCAGAGGTAAGCCTATCAGGCCCTACTGCTCGCCCCCGCTTCAGATTTCCTATAGCTTTTTCAACTTTATAAAGGTTCGGAAGACTTATATCGATTTGCCATTCAGGATGACTGCAGCGTAAGCAGATACGACGAAGAGGCGACGGTGAGTTTCTTTATCTTTCCGAGTCCTTACTGTACCGTTTAGTCGGACAGCGCACAAGTGACTATCGACTGGAATCCAGTCTAGGAGAGCTAAATCTGCTCTAGGACTCAATGCTATGCCTACACCAGCGTGGCCACGGGAATCAGCATCAGGGCTTCCAGATACACGAAGATTAAATCGAGCTGCTTCTTTATTTTGACAAGGTGAAATCGAATTATTGATTTCGCTAGGAACCTGCATGCGCATTTCGGAGACGCATCGATGGCGCGAGATTCCAAAGTCCTAGCTAAGGAAGCCTGTTGTCCTATTTGACACAATGTCCGCACATTAAAAGCTCCAACATGTAATGTAGAACGGGGTTTCAATAGACCAGGAATAACGTTTCCGGAACTCAAATCGTTTGTATTAGCGATACAGGGTGATAAAGGAATGTGAGAAGAGTTAGACATGAAGATAAGGGGATTGTTAGGGGGTGTAGGAAGGATTTGATTGTGACCAATTTGGTCTCGCGGGTATGAGGGCGATTGTCACTTCCCGGCTGCCCATGAACTCCATGAACTTATAACGTGATGTAAATTTTTATAAATTATTCGTTATCAAAATCAAGTTATCCGAACTATTAATATCAGGTTATCTATTTTAACAACAACTGATTTATTTCAGTTTAAACGTTAGCGCTATACAACACAGACATTCGCTGAAAATCCCAGCTTATAACACGAACAAATTGCCATACGCCGAATAGTATAGAGAAATGAAATTTCCACACTAAATCGCAGAGTAGTAGAGGTAACAGTATTAGTGGTAATAGAAAAGATTAAACGTCACGGGTGCAGTTCAAGAAAATATGAATCAAGGAGATAAAAATGAAAACATTATGTTATGAGAAATTGAGAAGCTTAGAATTTAACGGCAGACAAAAAATAGATACAACTGAGTCAATGAAAACGATTTTGAGTCAGGTTATCCAGTCTCTAACCATTGGTACGATTTTCACTCGGACCCCAACCAGGTGGTATCCACTTATTACCATGACTCAGCCCAATCGTTAATTACTTGGACTGATTCCATGTTTGACTTGGTCGATCATAGATTCCTTCCAGTCTACTCCTACACCACACAGGATTGCTCATCGAAGTAGGCGGTTGTTGAGTGCACGTAACACATGTCTAGACCACCTCAGCCGATGAAGATTCACTACCTCACCAATCAAATTACCATCTACACAGAGTACCGTATTCCTAACCTTGAAATTACTTACTCGACATTCTCAGAATACAGGAGCACTGTTTAGAAAACATTCTTGATCGATTACCAGCAACATATGAATATCTATTCATAGTGACCGTTTCACATACGTAAAGTAAAACAAAAGCAGCTACTGCGCAATAAACTTGTCCTTTTATTGTAAGACGGATATCTCACCCACGCCATAAGGGATGCAGAAAACCCTGAGGAACACCACTTGAAGCAATCAATTCTGGAGATAGTTCGCGATAAGCTATGATTCGACCAGTATCGTTCTAATTGAGAGACCGTACAAGGCTTATGTACTTCTTTGGTACTCCTTTCAAACGCAGTCTTCGGGTCGGATATCAGAAAGTATGCCAATGTTCCAGAAACTATTTAATCGGGGATCCTGAGTAACCGAAGTGTAAATGAGGGTCAGTTGGACTGCTCCCTCAAGTGTTCTGCCCATCGATTCAATCTCCTGGAACGACAATCTATAACAGTCTCATCTTTTCCCGACAGTCTCGCTAACAGCCAGATTCCTAATACCAGTTTCCTTGATAAGTATGAACAGTTGCCTGCTATCGCCTATCAACTTTTCCTTTCCTATCTCTCTTGCTTTCGGTACTCACTGCAGTATTGTATAAAGAGATTAATATTATTGCTTTTTATTTCAGTACTTACTCTATGACGAGAAAGAATGTGAAAAATTTGAGCACTTATTTTTGTTGAAATATTGGTGGAACACAGTTCACACGGAACTTCAAGCATTGGCATAACTCGAGGTGAGCTACGAGGTTGATTTCCAAGATTTCGTTTGATTTGACCATTAGGTCCTACCTGAACAGGAGTTGTATTAATATCTTCATTGTTAATTGGCGAAGACTGTTGTTGAGATAAATTATCAGAAGCTAAATCAACAGAGACAGGTACGACAGGTTTTGATTGAGCAGAACTTCTTGATTGACTGGTAGAAAGAAAAGATAAAAGAGTTGAATTTGATGATGACGATACAGTAGACAATGATGTTGTCGTAACCGGGATTTGTGTCTGTCCATGCAGAGAAAGATTAGGTTGTTTACTGACTGTAGTACAAACAGGAAGCATTGATTCGTTAGGCAGAGTGCGTTTCTGTACGACAGTTGGAGTAGTAATAGAAGTAGTGGGTTGACTCAGTAAAACAGATGATAATAATGGGCTTGTTACTGGTTTCGATGACAAATCAGAAATGAAAGTAGCAGTAGACGATTTAGGTAAAATATACACTGTTGGTCGATTTGTTAGATTTACACAAGGTGATGATGATGTTGAAGAGCATGCCCGAGTAGGTAAGGATGATGGAACCAATACAGTTGATAGGGAAATAGGAATAACACTTCTAGAATTGCATGCATTTATTTGCGTGGGAGTTGGATTGTAAGATGTTAAAGTCCTATAAAAGTGGGATTAAATACAAAGAATTTTTAGCTTTATTGGCTGAACAAAATATTTCTTAATGAATGACATGTTAAGTATAATCTGAAATATTATATATATATATATATATATATAACGACTAACAAACCGCCGAAAACACTTTTCTTAGAACAAATACAGAGATACAGTTATCAAAATAGTTCTCTCTTTTGTTATTCCGTACTGTGCTCGTTTTCATCCCTGAAATTGTAGATGATTACAACTACTCTATAGTAGTCCTAAGAACGTGCGTCGTCAAATTATTCATCCTATTAAATGATTCCCCAGTCCAGAAACTGAAAAAATACTGGTTTCTTAACTGAAGCTTCACAGTATTAGGATCCTTGTGACAAATTTTCTTTAAAAGCAATTTCTGAACCATACCTTTCCAAATAATTCATTTGTGTATTTAACATGTTACATTCTTTTTTGTATCAGCTGGATCATGCTTGTGAACCGTCATGACTTTGTAATTATTTCCAAAATACTATTTAACAAATTTTGGGTCACAAACCATTTTTACAAAACAATATAATTGTGTGTACCAAAAATAACCCGCTTCTATAACTGTGTAGTGTGTCGATTTCGAGGTGTTCTTAAGTTTCGTAATAAGCTCCTTCAGATTACCGTTACTAAATGACGTCTGACGGTTAATAAATCAGAAGATGAATTCGAAGTATCGTATACGTTTATTGTGGCACACCACAAATAAGGATAGCAGACCACAGACAGACCAGGCAGACACACTAGCGAGCGAATATGCGAATGGGCGACTGAATTAATAAGATTAAAATGTTCATATATATACAAAGGAAAATGTCTGAGTCATCGTGGTATTTAAGAGATTAATATTAAAGCGAATAGGGTGCATATGCGCGTAGGCGTTAAGCGATACTCAGTCATGCCAGTTCATACAAACCATACAATTATAAAAGCCAATGGTACATACAAGTTGTTGCTAAGCGAATGGCTTCGTTAAAGAAATTAATCGAAAGGGCTTAAGCAAATTAAATGTAAGCGGATGCAAATAAATGTGGAGGCACTACAATAGTCCCCTTCCAGCAAACAAGGTTACAAAAATGTCTTTGTTTGCGAACAAAAAAAATCGAAATTGTCGGAAAACATCAAAAGTTTCGGAAGTTAAAGTTATCCTATTCGCATATGTTCGTGAGGTCGCAAAGGAATAGAAGATCAAACAAAAGTATAGCAATGTTTTTAGGTTACATCTCAATTTTGAAATACACTAAATGTATCGAAGGCAATAATAGATAAATTAGAATTTCCGACGTACAGATGCGAAGCAAAAAAAATATGCGTTCGAAATGGTGAGAGGAATTATCAGTTCAAAATCGTAGCCATATTTCTTTGCGGCCACCTGACTCTTCGTCCATATCTGGTCGTTGGTGGGCTTCCTTCTGTTTTCTGTGTTGCTGCTTCAGAGGGTTTAAGCTCGCATTTCGGTGATTCAATGGCTTTCGATGGGCTTGCGTTTATTGGCTGTTCTTCGCCTTCGATGAAAGCTGGTTTGACTCTGTCGATGCTAACTACATCCGTTTTTCCAGCTTTATCTACGGTGATAGTTTTATCGTTTCTGTCGATAACTTTAAAAGGAGCATCGTAGGTTGGTTGTAAGGGACGTCGCACAAAATCTCTCCTGATAAATACATAGGTGGTATCGCTTAGTTGCTTCGGAATATATACTCGATGTTGATTCTCCTGCGGAAGCGTTATTCTTAGATCGCTCATGTGTTCTTTTAGACGACGTACGTAGTTAGTTATATCAGTTGGAACGATCTTACCTGAGCTGAACAACTCTCCTGGTAGACGTAAGGTAGTTCCGTAAACTAACTCTGCAGGGCAACATCCTATGTCTCTTTTAACAGTCGATCTTAAACTCAACATGACTAATGGAAGCTTGTTGGCCCAGTCATTGTTGTTAATAACAGCTGTAAGAGATGCTTTCAGTTGTCGATGTAATCTCTCTACCATATTATTCGCCATCGGGTGGTAGGAGGTTGTGTGTATACGTTTAATGCCGAGGAGCCCTGTGAGCTGTTGAAAGAGGCGACTTTCAAATTGGGCTCCTCTATCGGTTGTGATATGAGCAGGGACTCCATAATATGAGATCCAATGTTCGACTAAGGTTTTAGCTATGGTCTCTGCTGAAATATCTTTTATGGGCACCGCTACAGGCCATCGCGTGAATCTGTCTATGCAGGTAAAAATATAACTGAAGCCATTCGAAATTGGCAGTGGTCCCACAATATCGATATGTATGTGCTCGAATCGGCTGTCTGGGTGTTGGAAAGGACCTACTGCGGAACTTGTGTGACGAGAAACTTTAAATTTCTGGCATTTAATACATGCCTGTGTCCAGTTGCGAACATCTCGGTTCATATTTGGCCATACGAAACGGTCGCTGATCAGACTGATCGTTGCCTTAATTCCAGGATGTGATATATTATGCATAGTTTCGAAAACTTTTCGTCTAAACGGCTTCGGAATAAACGGTCGTGGTCTACCTGTAGAAATATCACACATTATGTTTACTTTGCCGAATGGAGTTTCTCGGAGTACTAAAGAAGTTGTATTGGATGATCTTAGTCTATTTAGCTCTACGTCCATATTTTGCAATGCGGCAAGTTTATGATAACAATGCGGCAAGTTTATGATAATCAATGTCAGGTTGGATGAGGGAATTAATCATCGTTCTTGAAACTGCATCTGCTACTTCGTTGTCATGACCTCTATTATATTGAATGCTAGACGTAAATTTGGAAATAAACTCCAATTGTCGAATTTCCTTCAGCGAATAGTTGTCGTGCTTGGCGTCTAATGCTTTCGTGAGGGGTTTATGATCTGTGTACACTGTGAAAATGTTACCCTCAAGCATATGTCGAAAGTGCTTTATTGCCAAATAAATTGCTAACAGTTCTCTTCCGAACGTGCTGTATCTCGTTTGCGTGGGACTTAATCTTTTAGAAAAGAATGAAATCGGTTCCCATGTGTCGTTTACTAACTGCTGTAACACGGCTCCAATAGCGATGTTCGACGCGTCAGTCATGACGGCTAATGGAGCTTCGTTTTTTCGTCGTACCAATACAGTCTTTTCATTTAGCACGCGTTTAGCGTTCTCGAATGCCTGTATGGCGTCTGGTGACAAGTGAAATGTCCGGGCACGTCCACGCAAAGCGTCTGTTAACGGTTGCAATATTGCCGCGCAGGTCGCAATGAATCGTCTATAGTAGTTAATTAGTCCGAGAAATCGACGTAATTTCTTATTTGTTTCGGGCAACGGATAGTCACGAATAGCTGCAACTTCTGATAGGACTGGTGTGGTACCTTGAGAAATTATTATGTGTCCTAGAAATTGCAGTGATTTCTTACCAAATTCACATTTCTTAACGTTGATGGCGATACCGTGTTCCTGAAGTTTATTGAACAACTGTCTTAGTTGTTTTAGATGTTGTTCCGGTGTAGCACTAGCTACAAGCATGTCGTCGATGTATACATATACACCTGACAAACCTCTAAAGACCTGGTCGACGAATCTCTGGAAGGTTTGAGCGGCATTAGTTAATCCGAATGGCATTCGCAAAAATTCGAATAATCCGAATGGAGTGATTACAGCCGTTTTCGGTATATCCTCATGCGCAACGGGAATATGGTAACAAGCCCTAACAAGGTCAATTTTCGAAAAGATAGTGACACCTTCCATGTTGTTAGTCATGTCGTGGATATGTGGCACTGGATATCTATCTGCCACAGTTTGTTTATTGAGTGCTCTGTAATCTCCACATGGTCTGTACTCTCCGTTGTTTTTTAGTAACATGTGTAACGGAGATGCCCATGGGCCGTACTATACCAAGTTTCATCATTTTGTCGAATTCTTGTTTCGCAACGTTTAACCTTTCCGGGTCCAAGCGTCGTCGTTGTCTCGCATTACTAGGTGCACCTTTCGTTACAATATAATGTTGCACTGTATGTTTGAGATCAGTGTTATCGTACGACACTTTTGTCAGGTCAGCGTATTCGTTTAGTAGTGATTTATATGGATCGTTTTTGTCTCCTGACACTACTAAATTCATAGATTCGTGGTCAGTGATTATTCCTCTTATCACTACCATACGGTCTGTGTTCAAGAGCTGGTTTCGTCGCGAATCTACTAATAAGTCTAAATTCTTTAAGAAATCAATGCCGATTATAGGTACCGATCCCTACCGTAGCTGCTAACTTGACGTGGTGGTCGGGCTTGGCTATCGTGATGACCCAACCGAGCTATACTGGCTGCAATATATGTTCCTGCAGGTCCTACCATGCCAGGCAGGTCGATTGGAGAACGATGAGACTAAAAGCAGCTACCCAAGGTCTGAGGGTGAAGTCGTACTGCTGACTGTGATGGAGGGGTGTGACAGCAGTAAGGTGTTTCCCTCGGACAACCAGCATCTGCAGCGATGCTGCCTTCTCACAAGGAAGGAAGGGTTAGAAAAGGTCGGCCCTAAAAATGTCACACCTCCCCTAACCCACGGATTTCCATCTCCTTGGGTAAAGGTACTCACTAAGGGCCTTTAAGAACGGAGCTAATCCTCAAAAAACATTTCATAAAAAGGCCGTGCGTGACCGGCCTCAAGCAGTTGTCCCTTGGGCTCTGCGGTCACGCTCACAGGTCTCTAAGACCAACACTAATCTATCTTCCTTTTCAGGTTCCTCAAGAAACAACCTTCCACGGTGTGGGCAGCCGGGAAGTGACAAACGCCCTCATACCCATAACAGCACGCGAGACCAAATTGGTCAAAATCAAATCCTACCTACACCCCCTAATGTCTCTCTTATCTCTACGACTAACTCTACTCACACTCCCTTTTCTCACTGCACCGCTAATGCAGACGAAGCGAGATCACGAAACGTCGTTCCTGGTCTCCTTAAACCTCGCTTTAGACTACATGTTGGAGCATTTAATGTACGGACATTGTGTCA